AGTTCACAATTGACTCTTTCTCCTGATGGGCATTGCGGGGGAGGGGTTCCAGATTTGCCCGATCACCAACAAACCTGCCTCCCTGTGCACATGCTGGTGCTCTTTTGGTGCAGGAGAGTGTGTGTGTGTGTGTGTGTGTGTGAGAGAGAGAGAGAGAGAGAGAGAGAGAGAGAGAGAGAGAGAGAGGGAGAGAGAGATTGATTGGGAGATGGATGGGCAGGTTCCCCTCTCTGTTCTCAGGACCCCCAACCTCAAATTCAAAGGTCCCACAATGGCTCTCAATGGCAGAACTGTAACATAACTGCAAGGTCCAGCTAGAGACAACAAAGAGGAGGCAATGTGAGAAGGTGTCAGGGACAGAGAGGGTCCACCTCAGGCACCGAGCAGAGTTGCTGTGCAGCTTCAGATTTGTTAGACGTGGCCAGTGTTCTTCAAAGTTGTGCTAATTTATATTCACATAAGCTTGGCTGTCTTGGGAAGCTGGGAGCCAGGTGCACAACTTAATTATAGTAACTTAACACTTGAATAGTGTATTTCATTTCATAAACTGCTGTGAGGTAGGCAGGGCAGGATTATTAACCATTCTCAGCAACCTTTTGAAGACAAGAAATCTGAGACTCAGAGGGTCTCATCCTGGATCCCGGCACTGATTTAAGGGTAGAGGCAGGAGACCAACCCCAGTGTCTGACCCTGGGAGTGTTCTCCTCATGCTGTTTCGCCTCCTTCCCCTCCCCAACACCAACACCTGTACCCTACTTGAGTATAGATCAGGCAGTCTACCCACCAGCTTTCTGGGGTCACAGCAATGAAAGCTCACTGGCAGACCCTGGAGAGAAGGCCCTGAAGGAGGGCCTCTGGTTTGGGCCATTCCAGGCTGCAGGGAACTAGGACAGAATCTTCTGGACTCTCACATCCCATTTTCCTTGTTGTTGTTGTTGTTGTCAACTTGCTTGTGCACAAAGATTGCATTTGATAGTATTTTAAATCTAAGTTGCCCTAGAAGGGTACCAAAACAAAAAGCTGCAGAAAAAAAAGACTGCAGAAAAGTCCCAAGCAGGAACCATGGTATCACCTGTAAGCCAGGGAAGCAGTCCTGTCCCCTGACCTTCCTGGTCCCTGCCTGGGTGCAGAGGGAGTGGCATTTAGGACACCTTGACATTTAGGGTATGTTGGCAGTCATCCTCCTCCCCTCACTCCCTGACACCAGGCAGCATCCCAAAGAGGAGAGGGCACCGCTGTCTACACTGCTCAGCACAGAAACCTGGCTCTGGAACGGAGCTTATGCAGGTGTGACACCTTACCAGCAGGCCTGTCTGAACAAGGACTGAGGGGTCTGGGTGAGGCCACACTCTCCTCCCCCTGCAGGGAGTGTCCCTGGGCACAGGCAGGATGGGAAGTGAGGCCTTTGGCGACTTTGGACAAAAAGTCTGGCAGCGAGTGTGCCAGCCACCATGCAACTGCAAGCTCGCCTCATTGTCGCTTCTGTCCCGTAGCACTCAAGTCCTTTCTTCCCAACATGAACCCTCCATCACAGAGATCCAAGGGCGATGAGTGTTTAATCTCGCCTGTACCCGTTCCAGTCATGAGATATAGGTGTGACCACTGACTGTTTTGCAGTTTGACTTCAGGCAAGTTTCCTCTTCTCAAAAACGAGGAGGATCTGATAACATGTGTGAGGAAGCACCTGGCACATGGAACCAGGCCACCATTTGCTGATGAAGCTAAGAGCTTCTGATCCTTCCCCAGGAGGCCACCATCTCATACCACTTCCTATTTGTTCACTTGTTTGGGGATAATGAAAAAAGGTCATGAACTCTTACCCAACATGCCTGAGCAATTCCAATTCTGAAGCCAAATGCCAGTGTACTCTCGTGAGCCTGCTCTAGGTCCTTCCTACCCCTCCCCTCCACCCATCCCATGCCTCCCCAACTACACATTACACACCCATACCACCCCTCCTCTGTTCTGCCAGTGCCACGAGGAACATAGCACCCAGAGAGCCCTATCCCTTGGCTTTCGTGGTCCCTGCCTGGGTAACAGAAGCACCATTACCCCATCCTCTCTGTCCCTCTGTGGGTCAGCCATCAGCTGGCCTCCTCCACCTAGATAGGTCTCATGAACTCGGGCACTGGGCTGTCTGCCAGGGCTCTTAGTAAAGTTCCTCCTCATCAGCTCGCTCAAGATTTCATTCTTAATGCGGCCCCTTCTCCCCTAGAGACCTCATGCAGAGCTCCTAATTAGAGCACCGTGTTCCTCAGGAAATAGGTGAGCAGAACACAAAGCAGCTTGTTTTATTCTTTGACCTTATGCTGTTATAGGCCAGTTTTTTCGGTAATGGGAAGGTACCAGAGGCCCTGGAAATCCCACACACCCACCTGGGACAAGGAGAAGACAAAATGGATGGCCAGAGCATGGCCAGGAAACCCAACTCTCAGGGATTCTCTGGACTCCGCAGACCAGCCAGGAAGTGACCTTGGGCTGTCCTCCTCCGTCACTCGTGCTGCAGCAAGGGAGGCGCATGGTGCCCAGCAAAGTGGTGCCAAACTGCCTCTTAGCACTGACTCAGTCTTTCCACTTCCCACTTCCTACAAATGTTTTCCTTGACAATTCCCAACTCTCGGATAAAGGGACAGTATTTTTGTTGGGAGTGAGGCAGATTAGTTTTCACTAAATGTGGATGTGAAGAGCTAGATAAAATATTACACATTTGTTCTTAAAACTGTGGGTTAGAAAGTGTCTGCTGTGGTTCAAACAAGACTGATGAAAAAGGTGATTCCTGATTGAAGACGAACACACCTCAATCAAACTCACCACCCAGCCTGGCCTCAGTGGGCTCACCGAGTAAGGCCAGGCATTCGCTGAGGCAGCTCTGTCCTCTGAGGTAAGAAGAGGTCTGGACAGGTACAATGTTGGCTGAGAAAGTAGGTTCAGATGGGTTTCAGACAGGAGCACAGATGACCAAGAGGAAGGCCCAAGGCTGGACCACGCCTGCCTCTAGCCCACCTCACCCTCTCCAGAGTTCACCACTCACTGAGTCATGCAGGCCTGCCTCATAGTGGCTGTGCCATTTCCTTCCTATTCTCTTACACCTTATTCCTCTGCTTGGCAGGAGGCAGACACTCTATTCTAGAGCCATGGCGCTCAACCCACTAGGGATGGTCAGGCAGGGCCAAGAAGACGCACATTGAAAAGGAAAATGGGGGGTGGGGGGGGTGGGCGGGGGCGCTTGTAACCTAGTTCAGTATCTGGTTAAAACTGTAGGCTTAGCCCTAACCGGTTTGGCTCAGTGGATAGAGCGTCGGCCTGCGGACTGAAGGGTCCTGGGTTCGATTCCGGCCAGGGGCATGTACCTTGGTTGTGGGCACATACCCAGTAGGGAGTGTGCAGGAGGCAGCTGATCGATGTTTCTCTCTCTCATCGATGTTTCTAACTCTCTATCCCTCTCCCTTCATCTCTGTAAAAAATCAATAAAATATATTAAACAAAACAAAACAAAACAAAAGAAAAACCTGTAGTCTTAAATCCCCACTCTGACTGACTTGGGCAGAGCTGCAGAGCCTAACCCCAGGGCCCCGCCACAGTTGACTTGGGCGGAGCTGCAGAGCATGCCTCCAAGGTTCTGCCAAGACTGACTTGGGTGGAGCTGTGGGGACCCTCAGGGGCCCGCCACAGGAGGAGATATATAGGTCAGAGCCTCCCCACGAGTTCAGTTCAGGCTTTGGATCCGGAATTCCCCTGGACTAGCAGATCTGTGAAATAAAGGTTAAACTTTCCTCCCTCAGAGTACTGGCTGATCGTTCTCCTGTGCATTCTGCCACAACATCTCCTGGGGCCTGGTTTACACCTATAAGACACAGCCATTCATTTGGAGAGACCAGCTGTCCACGCCCGAGAACCTGTCTTGCTGGCCAGTTCCTGTCCCTTGGAACTGAGCCACACAGTAAGGAGTGAATGTTAGGGTTAGAAAAGGTGCTTCCACATCTGGGAGATGGATCTTAGATGGTGGGGCACAATTCTTCCTATACCAGGGTCCCCTCCAATTCATTCCTGGCCACTGCCAGACCTGTGGGGGAGGGGGCGCTCTGGGAGGCCACCCATTCTGTCCTGGACTAGGCAGAGCACTTCAACCTTTCCTTATACACAGCTCAATTCTGCCTCAATTTAAAAAAGGATTATGAACATTGTAAGTCTATATAAAATTTAAGTCTATATAAAGAACTTGATGTATAGCTTCAATAGTTCCCAACACACATGGCCTATCTTGTTTCATCTCTAACTCCACCCACTCCTCTGGGACAATTTTAAAGACCAAATGGAGAAAAGCCTGTTTGTTTATTACAAAGAACTGAGTGTACGAGGTACCACTGGTTGGCTGACCTATCACCTCGCCCTAATCTTCCCCATTCAGCCCACTTCCTGTCTCCCAGGTCAGAGGCTTTTCCAGCCTCCGCCACAGCCAGGGGCGGTCGAAGGACCCAGCTATGGCCAATGACACATAAATGAAAGCCTGCTCTGAGGCTGCTTTTTCTTTATCCTCACCTAAGGGTATTTTTTCCATTGATGTTTAGAGAGAAAGAGAGAGAAAGAGAGAGAGAGAGAGAGAGAGAGAGAGAGAGAGAGAGAGATATGAGAGACACATTAATTGGTTGCCTCCTGCACCCACCCCTACTGGGGCTGGGAGATTGATCCTGCAACTGAGGTAAGTGCCCTTGACTGGAATCAAACCTGGGATCCTGGGATCCTTCAGTTCTCGGGCCAATGCTCTATCCACTTAGCCTTACTTAATACCAGTAATTGGAATCCCATTCAAGGAGAGAAGCACAGATAGAACCGAGAACTAAACTGCCCAGAGACCTGGCATTGCACCAAGACTAGGGAGCCCCCTGCTATCAGTCTCCAGGGCCAGGCCGACTTCAGAAAGAGCCCCATGGCCCCCAAGTTCACATCCTCACCCTGGCCAGCTGGACAGGCCTGGAATGTAATAAAGAGAAGGCGAGTGGTGTCATCAACTTCACCAGCCTCTTATAGGACCAACTTTTATTTAAGAACAAACTTTTAAAAGTAAAAATGAATGAAACTGTGAGATGAAGATACAAAGATAGAAATTCAATGTAGAAAAAAAGGTCTTGCTGGGAAACAGTCGAGGAGAAACACTAGAGACATTTCACAGACCCACAAGAAGCTCACATTGTAAACAGGATTAAGCCGCTACGATGTCCCCCCACACCATCAGGGTTTCATTTTGCTCAGCCTGAGATCTCGCTCAATTTCAAACTGCCTGTGATCCACTCGGTCTAGAAAAGCTTTCCGTTCAATGTACCTAGAAGAAAATGAAAAAGATGTTTGTCAGAATCCTGTAAGAGAAAGTGTCTCCACTGCACTATCCCATCCCCCCAGGTGTGAACAGATCCACTTGGGCAGCAGGATCACCAGTCACAGCAAAAACAAACAGATGACCACAGTTGGTGCCCAGAATGACCACCCACGACTCTCAGTAACACGACCCTCACATTTGGTCTAAACAAGGATGTTTCTGGTTTAGATGTGAATGAAAAAAGAAAGCAATAACTTATCAAAGGGAAAGGACATGAGAGGCTTTGGTGGCAAGAAAATGTAACAAGGCTTTAAAGAGAGAACAGGGGCGGAGCCAAGCACAGGTTCAGAGTCCAGCTCACTTAGTGGTGTGTTGAGTTGGTGGGGAGAGGAGGCCATGCACCCTGCGTATATACATCAAAATGTCACAAAAGGTCATCTGAAAATGGAAGGAGAAGTGTAGCAAAAACCACCTCACAGGGCTGCAGGGAAGGTGAAGTGAAGAGGTACATAGAGCGCTCACGTTAGAAGGTATTTCACTGCCTCCACCCTTTCCTTCTCCTCACCCTCCCTCCTCCATATATCCTCCACCCAGTTGGGACCAGGTTGCTTCCAGGCTGACAGAAGAGACCTTTCCCTAAATTATTATAAGGAAATGAGATCAAGTGCCTCTGCTGCCCATAGTCCACATACTGGGGTACCTTAAAAGGTCGGTGACTAGCTCCCTAAATCTGAGGCCAGGTTCAGTAGACAAGGCTTCCCTGGGTCCTCCCAGGCAGGATGGGAAGGAAGCACAGAGATGAAGCAGGCAGGCGAGACACAGCTGCATTTCAATACTCCTTCTAGCCATAAAGTGTGCCGAGATTTGCCCGAGGGAGGGCGATCTCTGCTGCTAATTAATCTATTTGAGAGAGCAAAATTGCCATTGACAATGGGACACATAATTGAATCTCTGCACTAATTTTTCTTTGTTGCATCTTGGAAAATGTGCATCTGTCATTACAAGGTCATTACGTTTATGGTGAGAACCTTACCAGCTTTAGGAACTTATGCTCCTTTGCTGAGTCCCAGACCTTGCTTTCCCTCTCACAGCACCCTGTGAAATGCAGGCTTTCCTTTCTGCTTTCCAGCCAAGCTGCCCTATGCCTTACTACAGGGAGGATGGCTCTAACTGTGAATCCTGACTCTGCCTTTGCTGGCTATTTGACTCTGACTAAGCCACATAACCTTGCCAATGTAGCTAGCACAGAGAAGGTGCTCAACAAAATGGCAGTGAATGCTATCACCATCACTTTGGGAAACTAGCTTCTGTCAGGGTCCTGAGGACAATTGATCCAAGAGGAATAGTCAACTCTCTAGATGCGTGTTATTAGCAACTAGTAGCCAGCTACCACCTGGTCTGGGATCAGGAACTAAGGGGCTGTGTCAAAACTGCCAACTAGAGCCTGGCGTGGTTCAGTGGTTGAGGGTCGATCTATGAACCAGGAGGTCAATGGTTTGATTTCTGGTCAGGGCACATGCCCGGGTTACGAGCTCGATCCCCAGTGTGGGTGGTGCAGGAGTCAGCCAATCGATGATTCTCTCATCATTGATGTTTCTATCACTCTCTCCCTCTCCCTTCCTCTCTGAAATCAATAAAAATATATTTAAAAAAAACAAACAAAAAACCCCCTGCCAACTAGAAGCCAGAATGGCTAGAAACACAAGGGCAGGGTCTGCTCCTATGTTTGACATAAGCCCTCAGGGTTAGGTTGTCATATTTCCCAAGTGAAATACAGGATGCCCATTAAATTTGAATTTCAGATTCCCTGGTAGACGGAGAAGCCACAGACACGGGATCCCTTTTTGATACACAGAGAAAATAAGGGAGACTAATGGGGAGGAAGACACATGGCAGAACAAATTCCCCTTCCATCTGTCACCAAAGGACCCAGGATTCTCCAGTGGGGACTGTTAATCAAAATCAACTGAAGGGCTCTGTCACACTACAACCACCATGTCTGCCCACCCCAGCCAACCAGCCCTGGGTGAAGATCACAGTGGGGATCAGAGTTTTGACAGCAGTGTGCTTTAAATGCCCCTCGAAGTTCCAGCAGAAAAAAAGGGGTGAGCTGGAGCTCAAGAGGAATTTAGGGCATGTTTCAAGAGAGCCACGATCCAGTGCTACCTGTCTGAGAGAGCAGGTCAGTGGTAAGGAAAAGGAAGTATGGTATGTGGCTTTGAGAATTTGTGGTCTTTCTTCTTGACTTTCTTTTAAAGAAGAGGAAGTGGCCCAGTCGGTGTGGCTCAGTGATTGAGCACTGACCTATGAACCAGGAGATCACAGTTCAATTCCCGGTCAGGGTACATGCCCGGGTTGCAGGCTCAATCCCCAATAGGGGGTGTGCAGGAGGCAGCCGATCAATAATTCTCATCATTGTTTTTCTCTCTCTCTCTCCTCTTCCTTTCCTCTCTGAAATCAATAAAAATATATTTAAAAAAAACAAACAAAAAACCCCCTGCCAACTAGAAGCCAGAATGGCTAGAAACACAAGGGCAGGGTCTGCTCCTATGTTTGACATAAGCCCTCAGGGTTAGGTTGTCATATTTCCCAAGTGAAATACAGGATGCCCATTAAATTTGAATTTCAGATTCCCTGGTAGACGGAGAAGCCACAGACACGGGATCCCTTTTTGATACACAGAGAAAATAAGGGAGACTAATGGGGAGGAAGACACATGGCAGAACAAATTCCCCTTCCATCTGTCACCAAAGGACCCAGGATTCTCCAGTGGGGACTGTTAATCAAAATCAACTGAAGGGCTCTGTCACACTACAACCACCAGGGCACATCCCCGATAGGGGGTGTGCAGGAGGCAGCTTGAATGATGTTTCTCTCTCATGGATGTTTCTAACTCTCTATCCCTTTCCCTTCCTCTCTGTAAAAAATCAATAAAGTATATTTTAAAAAAATAAAGAAGAGGAAACGATACTTAAATTAGGATGCATGCTGAGCATGAATAATGGCCCTGAAGGTTCCTGATAGTTGTGCTGGTCCAGCTGACCTTGAGACGATCAACAGTGAAGCCAGGCTGGGTGCTAAAGAGGCAGATGCAGGCAGAGTTCAGGTTTAGGGGAGGCCTCAGGCAGCAAAGAGGGGCACATGTGCAGAATGCAACTGAATTCTCAAGGGCACTCCAGACAAAGGCCATCAAGACAGGTCTGCTGACTTCATTCCCCCATTCACAGCCATCTGCAGCTGCTAACCGGGTCCTTGTGATGGCTTTGGTTTACTGCCAATAGCTGACCAGGAACAAAATTTCTATTGGACAGGGACGCCCCCACCACTGAGAGAGAGAAAAACTGCCAAGGATGAGGATGGCATTTACTATTTGTGTGATTCTGGGCAAGATACTGTGCCTTATTTTTCTTCTCTGTAAAACAGGAATGAAAATTACTGTGCCACTCTAACGATAAAATGAAACCGTGACAACTGCTTTGTAAACAATAAAACCCCAAATAGCTATGAGCACTTCAGGATTCTTGCTTCCCATTTCTGACTTGACTGCTTACTATAAAGCCTCACAATCCGGGACAGCTGGAACAGGGACCAAGGGACCAAATGCTCCAGAAAGGGGAAGGCTCATGGGGAAAGCCCCTCCTCCAAGGTAAACCGAGCCCCAGGAAGTTTCCAGGCACTTTAAGCAGGTTACAGTCCCAGAAGAGAACTGCCAGCTGACAAGTGCTTTTCTGACCTGAAATGCTGTACCCTCACTCGGGGGACCAAGGCTGATTTGGCCTAGTCCACTGGGAAGCGGGCCGTAGGGGTGTCATCCTTTCCCTCCACTACTGCGTTATGTGGCCCATTTAAGAGACAGCAGTTCTTCACTTTCATTAATAAAATGTGCTAATAGCATCAAAACCTCAGGGGTTTTCTAGCCTTTCCTTTCAGAACCAGGTTAGACACAACAGGCTCTGACATCTTTTTGCTCTTTCAACCCAAATTACTTTTCTGCCACCAATTTTCATGAGATCCAGGCCCATGAGGAGGGAAGGGAAAATGGAAAAGGACAAGAGAAGGATAGAAAATGCTTCCAGGGAGCATGTCAGCACCTACTTCTGGAAGCCCACATCACAAATGAGAGGGTGACCACCCATCCTCCTGAGACATCAGAGGTCTGTGAGGGTGGGAAGACCCTCACCTCCAAATGGGTGTGCTCACCCCCAAAAGCCCCGTTCCATGCTGGTCACCCAGCCACCAGAGGCCTCCTGCGCACTGGCCAGTGAAGGAAAAAGCACAGGGAGGTGCAGGGACAACTGAAGCAGGGACAGAACTTCAGGGCTGCGTTATTAGTTGGCTGCAAGCACAGCCAATATGCATTCAGTGCAGCACAAACACAAGAAGGAAAGGGGGAACTTCAACACCCAACACCAAAGCAACAGGCAGTGGAGGAGCTCCGAGGCTAGAATAAAGCTCTGGGGTGGGTGTAATGAGATGGGCACTTTTTGCCCTGAGAAATGCAACTGAAAGAAGCAATCTGTCCAATAGTGCCCAAGCCTGTGTCTCCCCTTCCACAGAAGAGCTGAAACTGGCAAACATCTTGAGGGCCGGAGTGACAGGGTGGTGATTTTAACTTTCTTCTCCACTGCTTTCCTCCCATCTCACCTCCACACTGGGCTGGTTCTGAAAGAGTGACTCTTTGGGGTCATGGAAACAGATTCTTTGGAGAAAGAAAATTATTTTCTCTGTTCTCCCCTTCATGCCTCTCCAAATCACAAGCACACCTGGTTTCCAATCATCAGCCCAAACCAAACCTGCATATCTCTCATTTTCTATGCACTAATCCCTTCCCCAAAGCCTGCTGGCCTCTGCTGCTGGGAAACCTGTGGGATCACTTATAAGCGAGAGGGAAGCAATGCCAAACACCTCAAGTGCAGACTGCTAACACATATCCTGAAATGCTGGACCCAGCCCTGGGAATCTGGGCTCAAAGGAAAAGCATCTTTGGTATAACCAACTTTTTTTAA